TTTGTCTTCATTCCACCTTTCAAAAACAAGTGTGTGGCTTATTCAGGGTGAATGGGGAGGTATACAAGAAAATACAGTAACTCTCTCTTTGTACATCTCTTTGTACAAAGCATACTATCAGTATTTTCTTCCTTTCTGTAGAATCAATTAATGATCACCACTTATGACACAACTGTGGAACTGATAGATCAATTGGAGGCCCTATGTTCTTCAGCACGGTCAAAAGGTTTTTAGCATCATCAGAGCAGGGCCTAATACATAATGACAAAGCAAAGTTAAAAGAGATACACAAAACATTATGGTGGGTGGGCAAGAGTGTGGCCCCAACACGAGTAATATTGCAGAATTAAGTAAGCCACAAAATAACAAAGCATATTTCTTTTGTGTTCAATTTTCAGTGCATTTAGAAAAGAATGACAGAGGTGGAGGAGATGATCTGGTTGATCCTCTTTTAAAGGAAGTAAGTGATTGGTTTCCACACTTCAGAAATTATAATTGTAGTGAATGGAATACATTATGCTCTATAATGTGACATGAAGGAAGATGCTCTACAAAGCAAATTGCTACTGTTGGGGATTCCTTGGCAAATCTCTGAGGGTTGATTCTGTAATGTTTTGTGATGAAGCCCAACAGCTTTTATATAGTGTAAAATCAGTGTCGGGTAATTCTGTAATAATCCAAACTACCTAAGGCAGGGGAGGGGGTAAAAGGAACCTTCCCCTGGCAAGTCTGTGCTAGCCTCATTGACTCTACATGGTTAATTTTAGCTTGGAAGCTTGAAAGAAACTGTCAAACTGTGTCCCACTAACATACTATGTGGCTTGACATCCTCACAAACACCTGTCTGCCGTATAGACCAAGATAAGTGAAACCATGTTAAAGTGACTTCACAGGACCTGCCTATAAGTCTGTAATTGCTTACAGGACCCAGAAGCATATAACCTAACAATAAAAATATTTAGATTTAGTTGTCCATAAAAAAGTCAAAAGCAAAACTTTTTGGCAATTTTTGTTCTTACTAAAACATTGCCATATGGGTTTACTTGTGTGCAACTTTATGTAATTAATTGTGATACTGCACAGGATGCTGTCATCTAAGCCAAAAGATTACACTCAGTATAAAACAAATGAATGCAGAATTTTTTATTTCATTGTTGTTTTGGTGCACTTTGAGGTGAATCCAGAAAAGAAAGGCCTAAGGATAGAATTAGTGGATATACAACAGATTCAGCAGCGGTGTTTGACAGATTGGACTTTTGCCGAACATCTTCAGCCACATGTTCTTCTCCAGGTATTTATGAGCTGTGTTTTTTACAGGAATAATGACTTGGAGATATGTAAGATACAGTGTTTTTCCCAGTATATAAGCAGAATACAGTGTATTTCCAAGCTAGTCCAAGATCAGATTTAGACCAGTTAAAAGGTTACCAAAGTCATTATTCAGTAACTTCAATAGTTTTTCAGGCTTTGGATACACTTTACTTTTGTAGCACTATGTATGACCTTATAGTGTTACAAAAAATAAGTTTCCATATGTTCAGGCTATTTGTGGTACTTATTATAAAGAAAGTGGGATTTATTATAAAGAAGATTATAAAGAAAGTGGATCTGTCACAAAAATGGTGTATCCACTGCAAAAAACTTATAGGAGTTAGATATGCTACTTCTATGTATGTCCTAAGCGTTCATTTTTTTCAGGTCCTTCACAAAGCAACACAGCAGTATAGGTGCATTGATTCCTATCACCACACCCAAGATAACTCTCTGCTTATAGTCCTTCACAATCCCCAGAATAAACATCATCAGTGCTGGGAATCCTGGAATATTGCACTGCACTCAGATGTTGGATTCAGGTAATAAGTTGGGTTTTTTTAGATATTATCTGTAAACAGGCACTTCGGATTAAAGCTTAGTAATGGCAAAGGGTTTTAGGTTGTAGCCGTGTTGGTCTAAGGACATAGGCAGACTAGGTTCCTTGGGTGAATTTGATATCTTTTATTAGACCAACCCAATTAGTTGGAGAATAGTTATTAAGCGAGCTTTCGGGTTCAAAAACCCTTCGTCAGGCTAAGGAAGTTTCAGCAGTCGGTGTGTGCTCTTCCTGGATGGAATGAAAAGTAAAGAAGCCAGGGGCTGGGCTGGGCTGGGCAGGGGAGTCAGTTGCCAGGCAGATTATAATGTATCAAAAATCCAATGTCTATGTTTAGTCCATGATCTCTAGTATCCAGAAGGTTGATGAAATGGAGCTCATAGGCTCATCTCTGGGAAGTGTTGTGTAAGTTTTCCTTGAGGATCAGGGCTGGGAGACTGGAGAGAGAGTGGCCCTCCTGTGAGAAATGTGGCCCCACAGGTAATTGGGTATTTCTGTCTTTGATAGATTTCCGGTGTGCGTTCATTCTGGTGCGCAGTTTTTGTTTGGTCTCTCCTACGTATTTTCCATCAGGGCATTTGGTGCATTGGATGAGGTATATTACATTTCTGGAGGTGCAGCTGTAAGATCCTGGGATGCTGATGGCTCTGTTGTGGGGTGTAGTAATTGTGGGGGTGGTGGAGACGTGTTGGCAGGTTTTGCATTTCTTGTCATGGCACGGTCTGGATCCTTGTGGTGTGTTCTGGGCTTGAGGAAGTTTGCTTCTGGTGATGAGGTTGGTGAGGTTCGGTGCTTGTCTGAAGGCTAGGATGGGTGGCTCTGGGAAGATCTTTTTAAGAATAGGGTCTCT